CTTCTGTCCGAAGTTTTACCTTCAAGCTGCCATGAAAACCTGGCAGGATCCGGACGTGTTTGAACCTGTGGAAGGTTCAAAAGAACTCTGGAATCATCAAGTCTTCCAACAGATTCCCGGCACATTGAAGAGAAGATACCGCTGCGGAATCAATGCTTCGGGCACCCTACCAGTGGGGTTCGTGTTCCTCAAAAGAAAGAAAGAATTTTTGAAGGGGAGGACGATAATATCGTACTCCAACAGCTGCATCAAGAAGCTGTTGATTGCAGCTGCACAAGCAATTCTTTTGATGGTCCGCTTGGTGTGGCCTGAGGCCATGGGCCTAGCCACCACCACTCAACTTTGGAAGAGACTGCATCAGTTTCTCCGACGCACCCCTCCAGCGGTGCATCTTGCTGAGGTCAATGACGATCTAGTGGCATTTTTCAATTCAGTACCCAGGCAGCAAATCTTGGATTCCTTGTCAATGCTTGTACAGCTTTACACGGACCAGGAATACCCTCCACATATTACGGTATCCCTTAAAAAGCAGCCCAACTGTGAGTCTGCTTGGCCAGGCAAAACCCTTGGCAAAGGGCGCCAAACATATTCGATTTCTTCATGTTTCTGACTTGACTGCCATTGTACAGACTTCATTTGAAGCAGGAGTGTTCACCACTCTAGGCCTGTTGTTCAGGCAACACCGAGGCACGTGTATAGGCAATCAAATTAGCCCGGTACTCAGCAGCCTCCCGGTGATTCAACTAGAATCCTGTTGGCCAAGAGAATGGCATCAGTTCCTGAGTTCAGCTAGGTTCTTCGACAACCAAGCGTCGGAACTGTTTGTTTGTAGGTATGTTGACAACCGATTGGTTGTATGCGACGAGACTTTTCTGTCGCATCAATGCATGAAAGATTTTCAACACCTCTCTTTCTATGGAGGGACCATCCAGCTTGAAGAAGTTACGAATCATCAATTTCTGGGTTTCCGGCTCAACACGGCCAACAGGACTGTGACCTACCTGCAACCAGACAAAGCCTGGTCTATCAGGAATCCACGATCAGCAGGGAGTTGGTCCATTCGAGTTTCAGGCTACTTATCTCGGAAAGCCTTCATTGTACAGTATTCCTGGCCTCCTAGTAATCGGAAACATCAACTGCAGGAACTCCGCAATCTGTATATAGCCAGGGGATTCCCTGCAGAGATATTGCTCTGAAGGCTTCAAAATTAGGATGTTTTTTGCTCACTGCACTTTTCGCATTCTTACCAGTCCCTGCCACTGAGAGCTTGGCCCGTGGCAGCTTCAATAGTTTGGCATCCTTTGTGCTTAAGCCATGGCTTCCTATGTGTTTCAATTTTTCTGTGGTGAGACATTGAGCAAGGGAGGATCCAAAGGATCCAGCCCTTCGGCGCCTGTGTTATCATTGCCGGCTCCCGCGGAAGAGCCCCATCCTCATCCAAGGCCCAGACCAGCGGCCCGGACACATCGAGGACGATATAGCTCTCGGTCACCCTCCCGTTTGCGTGATGAGAGATCCCGGGAAAGATCTAGGAGACATCGGCGAAGCCGAACACCCATTCGGGAAAGACCAAGAAGGGAGGAGCCAATATATCCACCGGGCAATTGGCGAGCACCAGAGCCGTGGGTTCCCCCACCAAGGCCAGTTTTGCCGCCACCTTCTGCACCACCGGCTCCGCATCATGCTCCCCCTGGCTGGTTTCCACCACCGCCGCCAATGCCACCTCCTTCTGCTCCACCTTTTGCAGCTCCAGATCTAAGGCGGCCAGCTGTGCCTCTTACACCGCCGAGGTTGGCAAAGTCCAACAAAGCACCTGAACCATGTGTGCCGCAGGCAAGGGCCCCAGCAGCTGATCTCCCGGGCCTGGCAAAACTGCAAAGCCGGCTACGACAGGGTCATCGGCCTCCAATCAGTCGGCTCCATCGCAGAGCCAGCAACAGATTGATGATCAATTTTTTCGTGGCCTTATGTCAGCCAATATCAATGATGTGGAGGATCAGCTGGAAATCCTGCTGTCTGGGTTTTCTGCAGTGGATCATATTCCGGAAGGAGTGACCACCCTCAGCCAGTACCTCTTTTATCGTCAGCAACTTCTGACGTCGCCTTTTCCGGACCAGTGGGTCATGGCACCGTGGCAAGCACTGCGAAGCAATGCAGCCAGGGCGGCACTTGTTCGCAAGTACCAGCGCCCTTTTGCGTCTGACCCTGAGAGACAAAGATGTGCTCGGTTTTCGCTCAGCTTGTTTCCGGAGCCGGTGCCACCGAACACCATAGGCCGGGAGGAATTCTTCGGCTTTGTGGACTGCATTTTGCAGTCCAGACTTCATTACGAAAGGCACTTTGAAGAAGGTGCCTCTTTATTTCATGATGTAGAAGAAAACGTGGTAGGTTACCGGTTTCGATGTACAGGCTTTCCCGGCCCACTCCTGGCCCAGCAAAACTGGCATCTCTGGGCTCATGCCACAACCAGAGAAGGGGTTACAGGAATTTTGGCCACGGGCAAGATCCTACCTACGGATCACAGTGCAGCCGGCCTAGAAGTGCAGCAAACCCCAATTGGGGTGCAGGAGTTGTACAGCTTGCCTGCAAGTGTTACCACTCAGCCAAGAACTGTTCTGGAGTGGTTTTTGCAGGCTTATTGCCAAGTGCCCATGTCAAGGGCAAGAGTGCATGCACCAGATATGAGAACAATCTGGCGAGGTTTCATGCCCTGGTCCACAGCTGCTCTTCGGACAGACGGTGGGCAATTAGGTTCGCGGCGGCTCGCATTGATTTTGTCTTTGTTCCCAAGAGAGCCAACAAAGCCGAAGAACTAGGCTCCGAGCTGTTGTCAATGCGCCTACTTTGGCTCTGGCAGATGGCCCTCCAGACGATAGCTGGGGCCCATGGGGTAAACCTGAAACCCCTAAGATCGAGCTGCCAGAAGTAGAGGAACCTGAGGAAGAAAACCTCATGGCAGCAGCCGATGTTTTTGCAGCTGCAAGCTGATTTAATTCGTTCAGCAGAAAAAAGTTTCTGGATTTCGCTTATGTGATTGCTGGCGCAGCCTGCACATGCAAAGCTATGTCAGGATAGGGCTGTTGCTTTCACAGTTTTCGGCTCCTGCATTTCGTTTCGTTTCTTTTGGCTTTGGCCATGGATCAACCCAAAGCCCAACGTGATCTTTCACCTGTTTCGTCGACTTCGTCGTGGCACTCTGCCTTTGATGTTACCTCTGAGCCAACAGCTTCCAAAAGCCACAAGAAACGTCCCAAGGACGATGATGGTACAAAGAAGAAGAAAAAAAGTCCAAGAAGACTTCTAAAGCTTCACCGGAAGCTAAAGCAAAGGTTTCGGATGCTCCGGTTTTCTTTGATCCCATTCAGGAAGTTGCATACCCACTACCGGGTTCTGCCAAGCCGCTTGTCAATGTGCCACAATTTCGAGCCGCTAAAATGCAGGCTCGCAGTGGCTACAGGTGCACCTGCCACTATGTTTTGAAGCATTTGTGTCCTGTTAAACTCATCCAGGATGAGTTTGGGCCCACCAAGCAGCGAAGCAGCTTCTCAGCAGTTGCAAGGCTAAGCCAACATGACACTGCAGTTTTTACATGCTTTTTGCTCCTGTGCGTTGCAAGTTCTTGAAGTGTTTCCTTAGTTTGCGGCTTTCAGTGGAGTTTAGTCCGTCCAGCATGTCGGAACGCAGCAGATCTCGGTCCCCGCAGATTCCATGGCGTTTTTACTGGTCCAAAAGCACGGCAACCGATGGTCAAGACCGTTGGTGGAAAACGTGGTTCCCTGCCACACAGCAGTGGATCCAGAATCGCCTTGCTGCGGATAAGCTTTGGGACCAAAACCCAGGATCGACCGAGACGACTACCATTTCTGAGAACAATACTTCGTGTTCCCAGTCGCCTCGCAAAAGACGGCGAGATGTCTCTCCATGAAAGCCAAGTTTCTGCATGTAATTAGTCTTGCCAGTCTTTTCACTGGCCGTTTTCATTAACAGCATGTAAGGTGCATACCCAATTGTTGGGATGCTAAGCAATGCTTATTTTCACTATTCGATTGAGCTCAGGTGCTGAATGTAGAAAATGTGCACAGATTTCAAGCATCGTTTCAGCCACAAGTGGCTACCCCGTTCGCGGGGTGTGTGTGTGTGTGTGGAACACCTGTCTGCTAAGGTTTACTGCCATTCAATCAATCCGTTTTGCAGGGGGCTGGAGTGCATCACAGAAGTCTCCAGCCAACGAAGACGCTTCTGTGTTTGCAGTGAAAACGTACCTGCAGTGGTGCACCTGGGGAGAAGAACTCCAGCTGGTGGCCACATTCTGTTGTGCGTGATTTCCGGAATGGCAAAGGGGCTAAGCCACAAACCCCCAACATTTGCTGTAGTTGCTGATTTTGAGAGGCCAGAGGTAAGCCTAAATCCTCTACAAGTCCGACTCTCTGTGTGGTATGACTGATTCTACAGACTATGCTCAGTCCAGAGGGAGGATTGCACGAGTGTGTGTGTGTGTGTGTGTGTGTGTGTGTGTGTGTGTGTGTGTGTGTGTGTGTGTGTGTGTGTGTGTGTGTGTGTGTGTGTGTGTGTGTGTGTGTGTGTGTGTGTGTGTGTGGGTGTGTGTGTGTGTGTGTGTGTGTGTGGGTGTGTGTGTGTGTGTGTGTGTGTGTGTGTGTGTGTGTGTGTGTGTGTGTGTGTGTGTGTGTGGGTGTGTGTGTGTGGTGTGAGTTGTGTGTGTGTGTGTGTGTGTGTGTGTGTGTGTGTCTGTGTGTGTGTGTGTTTGTGTGTGTGTGTGTGTTTGTGTGTGTGTGTGTGTGTGTTTGTGTGTGTGTGTTTGTGTGTGTGTGTGTGTTTGTGTGTGTGTTTGTGTGTGTGTGTGTGTGTCTGTGTGTTGTGTCTCTGTGTGTGTGTGTCTCTGTGTGTGTGTGCGCGTGCGCACGCAGGTTTTTTCCGTGTCGCTAGACGGCCGCTGAGCCCGGCAGAAAGAAGATCTGTGCATCTTTTTGTCTGCTCTCCAGGACGCGGCTGATGATGTCGCACGCCTGCCGCGGACTTTTCCGGGAAGGTCGTCGTGCGCTGTCCCGGACAGGACTCTCTGAGTCTCTTGCTCTCGCCTTTAGCTTGTCGGCATCTCTCAAAACGCGATTTTGAATCATCAGCCGTTGTCACGCGGCGAAGTCGCAAAGAGTCACAAAGCCTTTGAGGACCTCGCTTGTTTTTGCCCTCCGGGGACCGCGACGTGGTACACGGCTTGAGCTTCGCAGAAGTGGCCACCTTTCATGCTGCTGTGCTGATTCCTTGGAACATTGCCATCACCACCTTCTCAGAATTCTACGCAACTGGGCCACTGACAGTTGCGAGAAGCGCGCGCGCGCGCTGCGGCGAGCTTTTGCTCTGCACGTGCCCAAGCTGAGGCCCTGCATGTGCCCATCTTCGTGCCGGATCCACTCTGGCTGGCAAGGCTTTGGCCGAAGCAGATGACGAGCTATGCCAAGTCTCATCCAAATTTGCACCGACAACTGCGGCCCAACCACGAGCGACTGGACTTGAGCCCCTGGGCCCCTCTCCTCAAAACTTTTGAGACTCTGAGGCATCCAACGCCATATCCGTCCCTTGCACCTCGGCAGTGACAGCAGACATGTGCCATTGGAGCTACCATCCTTTCTTCCTTTCTTTTCTGGAGGATTCGCTGGCGACGGATTTCTGGATCATGCTGTACTGGGCTGAGAATTATGCAGGCATCTACGAGATGCCTGGGGTCCAAAAGTTCGCCTCCATTCCCGAGCTCCTCTTCTCCTTGCAGCAGAAGATTTTGGAGAATCCGCTCTTTTTCGAGATGATGTCGCAGGAGATGCAAGAAGAAACTCAACGTGCGCTGGGGGAGGTTCTCGTCTTCTGGCGTGATCTCGCTGGTGTCCTCATGCACCGCCTCAACTATGCTGAAATGATGTGACACCAAGTGACACGGAAAGAGCCACAGCTCGCCAAGCGCCCGAGCGAGAGCTGTGCCAAAAGGGAGAGCAGCGCTGGGGAGCTGCCCGGAGAGCGCAGAGCTCCGAGAGCCAGTGACTGAGAGCCGCAGGAGCTCTTCAGCGGCGGCTCAGGCGCGGCGCGGGGCTTTCGCGGCTTTCGCGCGCGCGATGGGTCGCCTCTCCGTCTGTGAGTCGACGGCCGTCTGCTAGGAGAGGATCAGAGCCAGAGCGCCTCCGCCTCGCAGCAGACCCAGGCGCCGGGCCGGGCCCCGAAATACCCGCAACGGAGAGATCGCGGCGCGGGCCGACCGGTGCTAGACCCGGTGCGTGCTAGACCCGTGCGCGTTTTTGTGCCAGACTCGACGGGAAGTGAAGCTGGCCATGAGCCTGGCCTCGCGGTTTGGAGCCTCAGACCAGAGCCGCTCCCACTGCACTCACTGCACGCGCCGGTCGCTTCGAGGCTGGACGCCATGCAGGGTCCTCAAGCACTTCAGGAGGCGGGGGAAAAAAATATGGGGGGGAAAGGGGAAACGCCCCCTGAAGTGCCTGCGTCAACTTCCCCCACCCATGAGGCAAAAGATGAAGCGTCAGGCCTGGGCCTCTTCTCCTCTTCTCGTGCTTTCCACAGATGGCAGGAATCCTGCAGCGCGACCCGAGCCTGGCCCGGTTTTTGACGGAGATTGGCTGGGTCTACGCGAACCGGGCCGATGTGCCGGGAGCTCCCGCGCAGAGGACTGAGCCTTTTGGGGGGCACTCCTGTGCCGAGGTACCTCGCGTCCTCGGGATCTTTTCTGGGCTCTTGGAGCGCTCGGCGGCCCAGGGAAGGGCGGAAGACACAGCGGGGGAAGACAGTGAAGACAGGATGGGTCGGAAGAGAGCGGCGGGACAAGAAGAGACTCGACAGCCAGCGACTGCGAGGTCTCGGCGCTCAGCTCCCGAGCCAGCGGCCAGGGCCACCAGGCCGAGCCGCGACGGAACAGAAAGAAGGTTGCAGACAGTTGCAGTAGAACATCGGCGGCTGTGCATGTAAGTGTGTGTGTATAAGTGTGTGTGTTCTTCTCCTCTCGGCTCTGCTCCGGAAAATGATTCCTTCTCCGGCTTAAGCCGTGATCTCAATCCAAACTTCGGAGGCTCGCCTGAGTCTTCTTGGTTCTGCCATGGTCTTCTGCTGCCGCACAAGACCCTCCGGATTGATTCTCATGCATCAGCATGAAGCCTTCTCACCAATCTACGAGAAGCGCTTTTTGTAGACATAACAGGGTTTCTGCCATCGGCGGCTGGAGGTCTGGAGTGACACGCGTCCGAAACACCCCCACCGCGATCAAATTTCCGTCACCTGGGTACGCGATGTCCGCGTCAATGTCCCTGTCTGACCATGTCTGACCGCTCGTCGACACGATTATTCGATGCTTGTTGGCATAACCTTAACGCCGTAGCGCGAAGTCTTCGCGTTTTGAAACGGGGCTCTTGGCCGAAAGCAGTCAATCCGCCGCTGAGCCCTCAGCCCTCGGTCGAGCCCCGCCGCCTCTCGCCGAGCCATCTGCAGAGAGTCAGAGCCAGTGTATTTTCTGTATATTGATATGACATGAGACGTGCAGCAGGCGCAGATCGCAGCAGCACAGCTCAACCAAAGCAGTTGGACCAAACGCTGCTCACGTCGCATCGTGCTGAAGAACGACCCTCTGCATGAGCACATGGCGATATGCCGATATGCTATGCCACTTGATCGGTGTCAAAAGGAAAGCAGCACAGTCCTGACAATGACGGACCTTTAGGGGCAGAAGTGTTGATGCAGGCATCGCAGCAGATGCGCACTGCCAAGCTCGCGGCGCATTCCTTCGTGAAGCTCCGAAGGTGCTCAAAGTTCTACTCTGCTAAAAATCCCAGTCCCAGGCGGTTTTGTCGCGCGTTTGGGGGGGGGAGGATCGTGAAGGAGGCGGATGAGAAAGAAGGCACCACGAGCACCGACGGGGAGGAGCCGCGGGCCCCGCGCTCTTTGAGCGGAGAGCTACCCTGGGCTTTCGCCGCGGCTCCGCAGGAGTTGCCGGAGTCCTTGAGCAGCGCGCTGCCCACCTTCATGGAGCCCCTCGGGCTGAGACCAAAGTGGCATCCAAATTACAAAGGGGCTTGGCGGCTTGGAGAGTGCACCCGCCACACTGAGGACGTTCTGGAGTTTGTCGTCCCACGACATCACCGGAACACTTGACAAGGCTGGGCTTGGGCGGACATTCTCAATGTCGTCAAATTTGAGGGTCGGTTCTTGGCTTTTCTCTTGTGCTTCGAAGAGTAACGGGCGTGCGGACTTCTCGGCTGCAGGTCATTGCGCGCGTCTTGAGGCCATTCCTTGGGCCTCGTGCCTGCTTTGCCCCGGTGCTTTTTGAGCATCCGAAGTGTCGAAGCGTGCCTTGTCAGTGACGGGGGCGTCTCCTTGGAAGAACGCGGCCTTCGCTCGGAGCACAGAAAGCCGATGACGCTGGGAAGAGGGACGCACAGGAGGAAACACACGACAAAACCAGCGAATGAGATAGCCTCCAGAAGCTTGGAAGAAGGAGTTGACGAAGGGATCCTGTTATGTAGCTGAGTATGCACATTATTACTCATGGAAAGGCACCTTGACAACTCATCGAGCAGATACTGAGACTACATGTGCTTATCATAAATCCGACTTGTGTCACTACGTGCTCGTTGTCACTGTCGCTGGCATGAGACACGAAGGGACCTATCCCAGGCTGGGCTGAACGGTGCATCAGCTAGCAGAAACATAGTGAGCTTCCTCAGAGAGAGAGATAGATATATATATATATATATATATATATATACCCACCTGATATGTTGGCAAGTTCTACTGTGAGGGGGAGGACAGAATCAGCAAGTCAGACTAGCAAAGATGGCAAAGAAGGTTGGATCAGGGAGACCTAGAACGATCTGCTGCGAAAACAGCAAGCGGGACGCTTGAATATGGGTTGTTTCTCTAAAGCTGTGCCCAACGCAAGGAAGGCAAAGAATGGGCGGTAGGGACGGACTGAACTGTTGAGAGAACAAGGAGCTACAAGTGATCAAGCATTGCACCATCATTTGCATCGAAGAAGTATCCAGACTGGGTGACACACGTCTAGTCGAAATCTACCGAAAGACCGACAAGCACAGCTCTGCGTCTGGCTGCCTGCAAGCCAGACCGTGTAAGCGAGGCATGAGAGGCATTTCTGCCAAGAAAGGCCAGGTCAATGCAAGTCCAAGACGCGAGGTGCAGACCATACAAAGTTGGAGTTGTGCCCTATACAGAAGCCAGCGCAAGGGAGAGAACTTAGCGACGCAGAGTTCGTGGACCGGTTTCAGGTGCTGAGCGTCTGCGCAAGCTCGGCCAAGCGCTCCAGGCGCTCAGCGAGGTGCGGCTTAGAGCAGCATCGCGCAGCACAGAGTGCTCACGGCTGACGTTGAGCGAGGCCACGGAGACGGCCACTGCCACGTCGAGTGGCCCTCAGGGCACCGCGGAGTGCCGTCGCTTCGAGAAGGTGCGGCTGCTTTCTTCCTTTTCGTCCCTTCCGGTCCCTTCCCGTCGAGGCCTTTGTCGCCTCGATGGCGAACCGCGCGTAGCCCGACCGAAAAAGTGCGCAGAAAGCGCCCGGGTGCGCCGCCTCAAAGCCTGTGCACCGTTGAGGAGCAGACGCTCGCAGCCTTGCAGCGCGGCCTTGCAGGGCCTTGCATTGCTTTGCCTGACGGCCCAGACATTTCGGAAAGTGTAGGGTGCCGAGGGACTCGGACTCCTTTCTGACGCCATGGCATCCGTCTTGGTTTGCGGGGGCGGCAATGCCGCACAGGTCGTCTCGTGCCTTTTCGCATCGCGCTACAAAGTCACTGCCATTTCGCTCTATGCCGATGAGGCAGAACGGTGGGACAAGGCCGTCAAGGAAGCCAAGGGTATGACCTGCAACTTTCAGGGCACCAACAAGGCGGTGAACTCCATGCCTGACTTGATCACCAAAGATCCCTCTGCGGTGAAAAATTGTGATGTCGTGCTCTTCACAGTGCCCTCTTCCTTCCACGAGCAGTACTTCCGGGCCCTTGAACCCTTCGTTCAGAAGGGCACCATCTTCGCGGTGATGCCTGCGCGTTCCGGTTGCGACTTCCTCTTCAAGAAGGCCGGCTTGCGGGAGCTTCGCATCTCCTCCCTCGCCTCCCTCTTAGAGTCCTCAGTGTTTTCTCTTTCTCTCTCTCTCTCTCTCTCTCTCTCTCTCTCCTCTCTCTCGCAGGTGATGGGTGAGAAGGCGGACACTTTGGGTCTGGCGGCCTTCGAGACCTTGCCGTGGGCTTGCAGGTTCAACGACTGGGGCAAGACCGCCACAGTCTTGGGAACCAAGGCAGGGCCAAGCAGCGGAGAGAGAAGAGAGAGAGCCTTGCGAAAGAAAGGAAGGAAGAGAGAAACACCGCTCGGTGGTCACCGAGCAAGACCATGACCACCTCTGCTGGAAGCTTCTGATTCTGATGGGTTTCGGAAACAAGTGACACGGGTGTGTATGATCGTGAGCCTCGTCGTGGTCGTCCTTAGAGATGTCGTCGCCACCAGAAAGAGCAACGGCAACCACGACAGCGACAATAGCGACAGCGGCAACAGCCTAACCGGCAGCTTCAACCCCCAACCCTGCGAGAAGAAAGCCCTTGGCTCGGCTCTCCCTTAGCAGGTTCTGAGTTCTGCTACGGCATCTGATAACGAAGCTGATATCATCTCTTCAGAGCAGGAAGAAGAGTAAGGGTAGCAAGGGCGGAAGACGGACACGGCGGTGGCTCTGGCTGACAAGATGCCTCGCCTCGCATCGAAGGCCCCCCGCTCTCAGGCGAGTCTGCGTCGCGACTGCCTGGCTTAGCCCAACAGCCTTTCTGCGTGCAGAGCCGAAACCAGCGCGTTACCGTGTCAGGGTGTACAGCGATCGCGGCGGCAGGAGGACTCGGGGTCGCATTGCAGAAGACGGTTCGACCAGTCTCACATGCAGCTCAGCTTCACGAAGGCCTTGACAGAGTGTTCCTCAGCCGCCAAGACAGCTGAAGCTAAAGCTCACCGAGGTTTCGGTCACTTCCCAAAATTGACGGCAGAAGGGCGGAAGGGCTGGAAAGCTTCCGTAGAGACGGTTTTCGACGCACACGCTCAGAATTTAGTCCTCGTGGGCACCGGCCTTGCAACCCCCGAAAACCGTGCTAAGCTGAAGTCTGTTGCAAGCATCAACAAAGCGTGCCCTCCGTGGTCTCATGTTGTCGGCTGCTTGAGAGGTGGTTTTCGATTTTCGGTCGAAAGTTGTTGCTAAGGCTCGGCTTGAAGTGGTTGAATCTGAGGCAAACGAGACTCTTTACCGCCCAGCTTGCAGCGGCTGGAGGTGGACTGTTCGGAAACAGTTCCACCAAGAAGTGAAGTGTCAGGGGGCCCTGCCATGGGATCCACAGACCTTCGCGATTTGTCTGTAAAGCTTCCCTGTCTTCGGTCAGCATACCCGAACACAGCACCTTCATCAGCAAGGTTTTCCACTGCTCCGGGGCGATCCTTCACCTCCTTCTCCCGCTGTCACTCTTCTGCGTATGCCTGTCAACATGGTCCCCAAGACTCCCATGGTCAGCATGCTAGCACGCACGGACCCGTGATGCCAACTGAAGAAACAGAAAGACAACAAGAAAGAAAAGTGGACGACAGGACAGATGAGTTGGGTATACAGATGGGTATCATGTCGACAAACAAAAAAACGCACAGCCGGTGAACTTTCAGGAATCCATCAGCGCGGCTGTGGTGCCACCAGTCGGGAAAACGAAACTGGACGTGATCTTGAAGCTGCAGGGCTTGCTCGGCGTGGAGCCTAAGATCGTGGAGTGCCCCAATGTTATGAGCATCAGCTTGGGCAACCCTGGACAAGTGATTCACCCGGGGGTCACCTATGGCAAGTGGCAAAATTGGGATGGGAAGCCCTTGCCCCAAAAACCCTTGTTCTACCACGGTGTGGACACGCAGACCGCGGATGTCTTAGAGGGCATTTCCGGAGACATCACAGCCATCTGTAAGGCCTTGAAAAGTTTGGACCCCAATTTCGACTGCAGTGAAGTGAAGACGATCATGGAGTGGTATATGGCATCCTACTCTACCAGCATCGCGGATGGCTCCACTTTGCAGAAGGCTATGAGCACCAACAGTGCTTACGAAGGCCTCTGCCATCCCATGAAAGAGTCTGGAGGCGGCTACGTTCCGGACTTCCAATTTCGATACCTCTCTGAGGACGTCCCGACTGGCTTGTGCTTCTCCCGCGGTGTGGCCGAGCTCTTGAACGTGAAGACGCCCACCATCGACAAGGTCTTGACATGGGCACAAGGGAAGCTTTCCAAGGAGTTCCTGAAAGATGGGAAGATGAACGGCAAAGACATCAAAGACACCAGAGCTCCCCAAGCCTTCGGTGTCACTTCGAAAGAGATGCTTTGCAGCTTCCTGAGAATCAAGAAAGAAGCCACGTGCTGCGCTGGCATTTGTAAGTGACATGATGCAGAGGATCTCAAGGATCTTTTTCTTGACTCGTGGCACCGATGAGCCTGTGTTTACAGCTGTATGTGAAGCCATTGCCATGAGATTTGCTTATCGGGTGGCCTTGAGATGTGCCAGCTTTGAAGCTCTCTCTCGCTTCTCAATGCCCAAGCTGCGAATGTCCGAATAAGAGGTTAGAGCAGATGGTCGGAAGTGATGTCGAAGGAGAGCAAGAGAGAGCACGAAGTATCACAAGAGTGCGTATGCTATCCAAGCCCCTCCACTGCAGAATCGAACGAGCTGGTGCTGATCGATTCAGTACGACACTTCAGCTGGCAACGAAGCTAAGCTCAGTGGAGTGGCTGAGATCGTTTTTTCGCAGAGAGCTGCCCGTGGAAAAGGCAACAGGAATTGGGGGGGGGTTCGCTGGTTCGCTGCTCGCTGCCGAGTCAAGGGGGGGGGGGGGAGACGGAGCCGCCAGCCGGGCAGCCGCCAGCCGCCGTTTGTGCTCTTGCCGTGAAGTCATGGAATTGGAATCGTGGGCATTTCAAGCCATATTGGAGTACCAGAGCCAATCTGTCAATGAATGCCTTTTTCGTGACACTTCTGCATGCGTTCACTCGCTTGTCACAAGTCGCAAGTTGCAGTAGCAGCGCAGATTTGCACTAGATGACTATAGACATGTAGTATCCTGACTCTGCGATAGCCCTGAACCTTTGCCTGCGACAACGGGCGATGCCAGTCTGATTCAGAGCTGCATCTGCCTTTGCGCGATTGCGCAATTCACGGTGACGTCGTGGCTACGCAGATGCCATTGGAGGACGAGAGTTCATCGCAGCGACATTTTTTGCAGAAATGCCTGGCAGGAACAGGAGCTCCTGCACGTCGTTGCGCAGGATGACGACGGCTCTGCGATGGCTGAGGTGAGAATGGCAGATTCGAGCAGCTTTCGATGTCCATCGGATCATCTTCGAAGGTCTTCGTGTACAGCGACGACAGCATGCTCTCTCTGCGGCGCCGCGGTCTCAGAACGTTCCAAGACAAGGCTGCAGGCACTGCAGGCTGTGCGAAGCTTTTGCGGGAAGCGCTTGCTTCTCCTGAAGGCGCCCTCTGCAACTCGGCCAAGATCCGGCACTTGGCCCTGAAGCGCGGCGCCCGCCCCCGGAGAGCGGAGATCGAAGAGCGGCGGGCCCTCGCTTCGCGAGGTTCGAGGGCCAGATGGTGGCGATGCACCAAAGCCTCGAGGCGAGTTGTCAGCGGAGGCCCTGCCATGGCCCTGCCATGGCTCTCTCCGCTTTTGCTGTGAGGCGGCTGGGCTGGAGAACCACGCCGTGGTGCAAGTGGCGCCCGTCACCGAGGCACCTTGGGGGTGCCTGCGGTGGCACTGCCAAGGAGAGCCGAGTCTTTGTCTGAGAGCTCCCCCCACTGTAGGTGGGACTGGCTTCGGCCTCCTCGGATGGCATGGCCTGGGACCCTGCAGGACCCGTTCTTGGCCCCCCAGCCTGAGGCCTCCGAGAGTCTCCGAGGTCTTCTTCTGGGACGCCCTGAGCGGCAAGTGCCTGGAGTCTCTGAGGCTGTGCCGCTGTGCGAAGCCGAAGCTCCTCAGCTCCTCTCCTCTCTGTCTCCGCTCCGCTCACTCCGCTGCAGGGGCCACCAGGAGAGCGTTTTGTCCGTGGCCTTCTCGGCCTCCGGGAAGCTCCTCGGCACCACCAGCCCGGGCCCCGCCAAAGAGGTCGTCCGTTGCAGAGACGTCTGCGGCATTCTGGCGAAGGGGAAGGGGGCCATTGCAAGGGTCGGGGACAGATCACCACATCACAGAAGACACTTGCATAGCTTTGTCTTGTGCATAGGCTTTTCCAGCACGGCTGAAGGATGCTATGTTATGGTCGCTACCGCTACCTGCAGTGCCTGGAGCGCACGCAGTTTTGAGGCGACTGCAAGCACCGCGCTTGCGCTGGGCCGCTTGAGCATGCGTGTACTGCAGCGTGTAGTTCGTGTGGTGATTCCCCGCTTCGACAGCTTCGTGGTTATGCTACCGCTGCTTCGTGGGGTCGGCTCGGCTCAAGAGACCCCCCATCATCGCCCCGTGGCCACCTCGCCCCCCGGCCCGATAAGCCTTGCGGCCTTGCCCTCTGCTGCGAATTTTGCTTCGGGGAGGAGGACGCCCCTTTAGGCCAGGCCAGACCTGTCGCAACGTGCCACGAATTGGTAAATGTGCTGCTCAGGACTGTGCCTGGTCGGAAAATGCTGCATGGCATAAAATGTCACCCACACTGCACCCCCGCTGATCCGACCTTTGCTGCGCAAAGATCAAACCTGGCGAACGCCCGCACGACTGAGCTTCTGCCAGGTGACTCGCCCCAAGAAACCCCAACCCTGCCCTAGAGCCGAAAGGAAGAAAATAGCTCTCCAGGCAGCTCCCCAAGGCTCTCCAAGTCTCTCTCTCTCTCTCTCTCTCTTTCAGTGAATAGTCTTCTGTGTTTCTGAGGCGCTGACTGCAGTGCGAAAGTCTGGGAGACGGCCTCCGGCCGTGGCCGGTAGCCCGGCGGGGTGAGGTCGAGAGTCGCTGAGAGCGCAGCTCGCAGCATCTCGCAGCTCTGCGCTCCGCTTGTCCGCTGAGCTGTCGAGTTTGTGTCTCCGAGGTCTGACGACGCTTTCGGGCCACGAGGACTGGGTCGGCCGCCATGGGGAGCAGAGGGAGAGCAGAGAGAGCAGAGGGAGAGAGCTGAGCAGCTCGCAGCTCTCTCCTCAGGTCACGTGCTGCGGCTTTAACCTCTCCGAGTCTTTGGCCGTGACCGCCTCCTTGGACTGCAGCGCCAGGCGCTCCGCTAAGCCCCAAAGCCCACAGTGCTTCGCTATGCTTCGCTATGCTTCGCGGCTCGCGGCTTGCTTGCGGCTCGGAGCTCTGCAGGATCTGGGATCTGGCCACTGGCAGGCGCGCTGGACTCTCTGGACGCTTCTCACCAAAGTCAAAAGGGGAAGAGCAAAGGCGTAGTTCTGGGGAAAAGGCTAGCGACAGAAAGTGAGACAGAGAGAGAGAGAGAGGAGAGAGGCTGTGCTGAAGAAGACAGGGGGAGAGGGGCCAAGCCCAGTAGAGGAAGAAGAACCTCGACTTGGCTCAAGTTGCTTGCCGTTCGCTCACCCATTAGCTCTTTGCAGTCTCGGCTTGGAAAGGTGCCTGCAGCTCCTTCCTGGCGGCGTCAGTGCGATCCCGAAGAGATGCGAAACTAGGCCAACACGCATTGCCAACGTCGCGTTACAGTGGTTTCTGTTTCTGCGTCTGTGCCGTCAGAGCACAACTATTCCTGCTTAGTCTTATATGGCTTTGGCTCAGACAGCATCTCTCTAATCTCTCGAGAGATGACTCGCCGGGACATGACGAGGTCCGATCTTCTGGGCCGCCTTTGCTCCGGAAGAGGAGGAAGTTGCCACCGCCAGCTCTGATCTCAGTGCCCTGCGTCACTGTCCGGGCGGCCGGCGAAGCTTGCGGCTTGCCACAGGTGCCGACAACAACGCCACGGTCTGGAGCCTCGAAGCGCAGGCCGACGATTCCGGAATCGCGGTGGCCGCGGTCGCCCGGCGGTCGCCCCCACCACCGACCGACCCACCGACCGCCACGCTGTGACACGCTATGTTGCGCTGTTCTCTGCAGGTGCAAACGGTGCTTGAGGGCCACGAGGACAATGTGATGTGCGCCGCAGGGCTCAGAGGTTTCGGAGTTAAGGCGCTTTCTTAAGCTCTCTCTCTCTCTCTCTCTCTCTGCTCTCTGCTTTCTGCTTTCTGCTGCTCCTTCTTGTTGGCTGAGGTGAGCTGGTCACCGGATGGCTTGCGACTGCTCACCGCCTCGCAAGACCGCTCGGCTCGGCTCTGGGAGGCAGCCCGCAGCCGCGCCGCGCGCAATGCTCTCTCTCAGACTCTTTCTCCTTTCTCCGCTCGCTCTGCTGCCTCGGGGCCCCGGAGGCTGCCGCGGGCTCCTGCATCCGCGAGTTCCAGGGGCACACGGACACCGTGCAGGCGGCGGGCGGCGGGGCGGCCCGGGGGCGCATTCGGGAGCGATGCCGCCGCTTGCGCCGACGAGAAAGTTTGATGAGATGTCTCGCGCAGTCCGCCTTCTTCTCTGGCGACGGCCGCTTGGTGGTCACGGCTTCTCTAGATCGCCTACGACCCAGCTCGAGAGAGAGAGAGAGAAGTGGAAGATCACGGTCCTTGTGTGCACGACGGTATCCTTCCAAGGCCTCGCGAAGATCTGGGAGACCCAGACGGGTGACTGCCTGCGCACGCTGGCCGTACCCTGGCTGAGTCTTGATACGAAAGCGCTGAGCTCTGTCACCGTTGGAAGAATCCAGGGCCACTCGGGCTCCGTCCTCTTCGCCGCCTTCTCCGCCGACGGCAGCTTCGTGGCCACCTGCTCGAGGCAGCTCCTGCACCTGCCAGCGTAGAAGCTGAAGCAACCCGCTCTACATACATACACAGATAGACATAGACATAGATACACAGACAGACAGACAGACAGACAGACAGAAGTTACATAAGTACGCAGTGAGTTAAGGATGCATATGCATAATGTAAACAGTGAGAATGTAATACAAACACAAACATACACACATGTAGCTGCACATCGTACTGTGTATGACGTATTCGGTACTCTATATATTGCATACCCCATATATATATATATGCATGTATGTATGTATAATTATAATTATACATATATACATATCTACATATATGTATATACTACATGATACATTACATTTTGGACTATATATTGTATACATAAAATTGCATAGGATGTGTGTTATACGAAGAAAATATACTTAACATTGTTGTATCGTCTTATCTTGTATTCTAATCTATTAGTTTATGGCCAAGTTGTCTATACAGTGTCTGGGTGGGGTTTCGTGTTAGGGGAAGGGAGTGTGTGTATATGTGTTTTGTATATATATATATATATATATATACATGTAATACATAGGCAGACCCGATCAGGGATTCGACGTTGCGGACCTGGGACGTGAAGACGGGCCGACACATGCGGCTGCTCGAAAGCCACCGTGCCAAGGCGGGCAGAGGACTGGCAGAGGACTTGCGGAGGGAAGTTAAGGGAGGAAAAAAGAGGATCTGCTGGGTGGCCGAAGCACAGCTTCCTTTGGCGTCAGGTGAACTCCCTCTCCTTCGTTTTGTTCTGAAAACAGCAGCAGGCCTTTGAGCGACTGTGCGGCACAAATCGAAGACTTGCGCCGCACAGTCGCACGTTGCCAGTGCCAGGCTCTTCTAAGGAGAGTCATGTGACCCGCTTCAGTCCCGCTGACCTCATGCAAAAAGGCAAGTCTGCTCCGCAAGTGCGTTCTCCGCGGACACTGCGACATTGAAGAACGTTGACGATTGAGGTAGGTAGTCAAGCTGTCATTTGCCCTGGCCTTCGTGCCATTGCGGGGCTGTTCTTCTGAAAGTTCGGCATGTCCGGGCCATCATTGCCCTTTATGTTGAGCGCTTGGTTTTGTACTGATGGCTCTCAGCAATTCACGTGTTGCAATGCAGCTATTATCCAGTGCATCCTGGGGAGTGCGCAGAGGGCCTTTGTCGGATGGGCACTCGCAGGAGTTGCTCAACCGCACACCAAGCGTAAGAAGCTACGATTCATGCCAGACGCCGTGCAAGACTGACTGCAAGGAGAGCACCAAGAATTCAAAGTCTGCCCATCACACCCTGTTCCTGGTGCAGTTCTTGCAGCAACTGTCATTTGCAGGAACCATAGTTGATTCATACCAAATCGGCAAGTTCTTCGAGGTATCCCCTGCATTTTCCGGCCTTTTGGTCGGCTTGTTCATGACAGGCGGGGCTGTGGGAACGTCTTTCATGACCTTGATCCTGCAGGCAAGGCCCACCGCCTGGAAGAGCTTCCGCAGCATCGTGCTTGGCTGCCAGCTCATGGACACTGCTGGAGTTTTCCTCTACACCCTGCTCATGATTCTGGCAGCAGACGGGCAGCAGACGGGCCATGGATGGATCTATTGCCTCGCGATGGTGCGCTTTGCTTGGGGCCTTGGGAGTGGTGTGACGGGACAGCTGGCTGCGGTGACCATCACGAAGGTGACTCCTCCGCATGAGATCCCCGAAGAGATGCAAAGCCTCCAGTTTTGGCAGAGCCTCGGCCTGGGGATGGGGCCCTTCCTCGCCGGGCTCGCAGCTCTCACGCTCCCGCTCTCCTTGCAGGACGCAACGCAGTACAAGCTCTGCGCAGCTCCCGCGGCCCTTCTGAGCCTCCAGGTCGTCTCCCTCCTTCTTCTCTTCAGCGGCTTCGCCGGGCTCTGTCCCAGCTCTCTGGAAGAGTGGCAAGAGGCAGAAGGAAACGGAAATTCCGCCGGGCCCGTGGCCTCCACAGCTCCTCCTCAACTGCACTCGGGAAGAGTCCAGATGCTCTTCCTGGGCTCCTGCTTCCTCCTTTGCAGTTTGCGGGGCTATGCGGTGGCTGGCGCGGAAGTCGGTACCACCATGCTGCTGGAAGAGTCCTACGAATGGAATCGGCATTCCATTGGCTTCTTGGTGAGCGGAGCTTTCTTGGCAAGCATACCTCTCCGATCGGCATACCTCCGCAACAAGAGCGTATTCAGCACAGCCTCATGGATACGAATCCTGGCCTTGATTGCTATGGCTGGCACGCTGCTTCTATTCTCCCGGGTGGCCGAAGTGATGCCACATGGGGTCGCTCTTGTTCTCGCTGATGCCATCATGTTCCCTGCCTTGTACTTGGGAGAGGGGTTGACCAGGGGCTTGATGTTGCAGTTTGCCAAAGACAGTACCGTGCTTTCAGCCAACCAAGCGTCGTTCCTGGCCATCGTCCTGAACAACTGCGCTCGCACGGTGGCACCCTGGCTCTCAAGAAAGCACATCTCCACCGGTGCGCCTTCCCAAGGGCAAGATCTGTTTGCCACTGGGCAGCTACTTTGCTGCGGCTTGTTCCTTGTCATCTTCGAATTCGGGATCCAGCAAGTGTCGGAGGCGGGAGGAGCAGCACCAGCACCAGTCATTGTCATCGGCCTGCCGAGCTTGAACGAAGCTCACAACATTGAGTCCGTCACCAAGGCGGTTGATGCAGGCTGCCATCAGCACTTCCCAAAGCACCGCTGCATACTGGTCAATGCAGACTGTCAAAGCTCTGACGGCACGCCCGACATCTTTGCCCGGACCCCGACGCATTGCCAGAAAGTTCTGCTGAGGACTGCCTTGCCAGCCCAGGGAAAAGGAGCAGCGCTCAGGCTGGTGTTCGAATACATGCTTCAGGTGGATGACTGCACGCATGGGCTTACCCTCGACACCGATGTGACGAGCATCACGCCAGACTGGATCAAGAGCTTCAGTCTTGCACTGGCCGACCATGACTTTGTTGCACCTCGCTACGCACGGCACCGCCTCGATGGCTTCATCACGAACCTGCTGATCTACCCTTCCCTTTGTGCTGTCTTTGGCCGTGACGTGCGCCAGGGAATCGGAGGTGACTTTGGCTTTAGTCGCCGTGCCGCCGAGGCTTTCTTGGCAGAAGAGTGGTCTCCGAGCATTGAGAAGTATGGCATCGACATCTTCATGACCAGCACCGTGCTGAAGAAGGGCGGCCGTTTCAGTATCGGAGAGGTGGAGCTCCCGGCGAAAGTCCACAGCCCGAGCCTGCCGAAGCTCAAGAGGATGGTCCTGGAGGTGTTGGAGGTGCTCCTGCAACAGCTGAAGGGAGAACGCTTCTCACTTGAGAAGCTCCAGGCACTGCCTCGCATCGTTCTCCCACCTCAGCTCCAGGAGCAGAAGATCCCCGAGCTCCAGGCATGGGAAGGGGCGGTTTGGGGTGCTGGCGCTTTGGGGGCGTGACACGAGTGTGAAACGAGTTAGAGCTTTGTCAGGTGGATCCTGCGGTGCTGCTGAATCTGGCGGAGCAATGCTTCCAGGAGGACGAAGCCTGCATCATGGCGACCCTGGCGACCTTGGAGCACGCCCGGCGGGACGAAACGGATTCCTTCAGCGCCGCCTTGGCCGAGAGGACCGTGGACAGCACCACCTGGGCGCAACTGCTGCACTCTGCCCTCACCACGGAGGCGGGCTTGGGCTCCTTGGAGACGCTGCGCTGCTTCTTCTTCCTCCGCGCAGCCTCGCACTGCAAAGACGTGCAAGCTCTCTCCAACTTCGAGGCCGAAAACCTGGTGAAGTCACAGAGGGATCAGCTGGCACGCCTGGCACGCCGCGGCATCTGCCATCCATAGTCCGAACGCAGGCTCATCCTGTTTACCTCTAGGTCCGACCGATTCCGGCAGCAATCGGCAACGCGTCGCCGCGTCGAGTCGTCGCGCCGCCTGAGAAAGTTCCTTGCAGCTCCCAGGGGCCCGGCTTCTCAGCGGCTTCTCAGCTTCGGTTTCTCACCATGTACCTACAGTTTGGGTTAACAGACTCAGGGAAACTTGTAATGCAAGCTGAGCGGAGCGTCATTTCGGAGGTGCCTGCTTGCATGATGCTTACTCGGGCATTCATGACAGTCTACCCGTGGTCGGGAGTACGTGAATCTTGCAGTTTGATCTGGATTCCTGATGTGTTGCACACTGGCAAACTGATGCTTCCGAGCCAGTTGAATTTCGTAGGTGCGATTTCGCAACAACTCCGCAGCTCCAAGGCTTCGAAGGCATAGACAAGTAGAAGGGCAGGATTAGGTGTTTGTTCTGGAGCCACTTGCCATGTCCTTGGAGTTAGTTGATAAGAGCGCTCTTCATGCATGCAGGTAGGACAAGTACTCATGTCTTGAGTTGGCTCCATCTCTGATTTCCGTGTGGGGCGCATCCAAGCATGCCTATGAAGCTCTCAATCCGCAAAGCTGGTGGCCCAGTTCAAAGTGCATGCACATGCACATGCACAAATCGATACCAGAGCTACTTGTACTCAATTTGTAGTACCGCCGCGAGCTCAAGCCCAGAACAATGTGCAGACGTGCGCGCTCTTATGTTTGCTTCATTGATACGCTAAAGAGATTGGCTGCGACAAATCAGATCATGGTGCCCCGGAATCCCTGCTAGCAAAGGTTGCCGCTCAATTCCCGTTGGTTGAAGTTGTTTGTTTAGAGCCAAGGTTGTTGCTGCACAAGGCGTTCTCCGAGTATAAGCTCGAGTACGCCCAAGTACAGTCAAGTCCGCCCACTTAGGCTCGAGTACGCACGAGTGCCGACTACGCAGGAGGGCGTGCGAGTATGCCAGACTACGCAAGAGTACACCTGATTTCGCACGACTACGCCCGGCCGCATTGCAGGTATTTCCGCTTGGTTTGCATGGCAAAATGCATCAACCTCGGTGCGACCCGCCGATAAGAAGGTCTTGAGTTTGTTTGGAAACACGCTGAGCGAGGCATCGCGAACCAGGGCAAAGCTCGAACATTTTCTGAGGCAGGGAGCGCACGCACGAATGACTACTCGTGTTGTACAACATTTAATGCTGGCATTACTACTAGAAGTCATCTCAGGGTTGGTACCTGGTGATCTTGGCTGTCTGGGTTCGCGAGAGGTGGGCTTGCATGCTCCTGCTTGGAAGGCTTCTGAAGAGCCGCCGTATCGGCCGCCGAGGGTGCGGCTCCTAAGTTCTCGGGCGTGTGCCATGCTATGCATTTATGCTTGCAGGCCAGGTGCCACAATCCGATGTGCCGAAGACCAGCGCCTCGGCCAGGAGGTGGCCTCAGGGGTGGTGCCGTGAGGATGGCAGGCCGTGAATGTGAGCTGGGGTGGGTCAGGTGCCTCGAAGACCGCTCTGCCTGGTCGAGTCTTGTTTTTTTTCCTGACCGGGAAGACTTTCCTGAGTTCCCTGAGTGTCCTGGCGAGTTGGTCGGGGCATCCAGCTTGCAGCTATTCGGCGCTATCTGCGACCAGGTTCATGCTAGGCCTTTCGGCATTCCTTCCCGTGCCTCGGCATTGCGGCTTCCGAGCTTTGAAACGCTGTGCCTCATGGAATGTCCCAGATCCATGAATTTGTTCATTTGCGGCCCGTTGACTTTGAAGCCAGTTTGAAGCCGGCTTCAATATGGCTTCAAATACGATTCCCCAATACTGGGACGGTATTTGAAGCCGACAAAACACGGGATATTTAAAATTCTAAATAGACGAGTAACCATGAGGAATCGTCTTGGGTCAGCCGCTGGATTCAGGACGCCGCCACCAGCAGAAATGCCGTCCCAGTATTGGGCAATCATATTTGAAGCCCCATTGAAGCCGGCTTCAAACTGGCTTCACATTAAAATTCTGCTGGTGGCGGCGTCCTGAATCCAGCGGCTAAAATTCTAAATAGACGAGTAACCATGAGGAATCGTCTTGGGTCAGCCGCTGGATTCAGGACGCCGCCACCAGCAGAAATGCCGTCCCAGTATTGGGCAATCATATTTGAAGCCCCATTGAAGCCGGCTTCAAACTGGCTTCACATTAAAAATCTGCTGGTGGCGGCGTCCTGAATCCAGCGGCTAAAATTCTCAATAGACGAGTAACCATGAGGAATCGTCTTGGGTCAGCCGCTGGATTCAGGACGCCGCCACCAGCAGAAATGCCGTCCCAGTATTGGGCAATCATATTTGAAGCCCCATTGAAGCCGGCTTCAAACTGGCTTCACATTAAAATTCTGCTGGTGGCGGCGTCCTGAATCCAGCGGCTGACCCAAGACGATTCCTCATGGTTACTCGTCTATTTTGAATTTTTAATACCCCGAGTCCCCTCGGCTTCAAATACCGTCCCAGTATTGGGGAATCCACTGTGTTAACAACCAAGACAAACTACTTGACTTGCAAGTCAAGTAGTTTGTCTTGGTTGTTAACACAGTTAGAAGCCAGTTTGAAGCCGGCTTCAATAGGGCTTCAAATACGATTCCCCAATACTGGGACGGTATTTGAAGCTGAGGGGACTCGGGGTATTTGAAATTCTAAATGGACGAGTAACCATGAGGAATCGTCTTGGGTCAGCCACTGGATTCGGATGCTCGCAAAACCGCGTCCGTTCGTGGCCTGCCCCAAGTCCCGGAAGGCCGTCGCTTGTGCTGTGTTAACAACCGGATTCGGATGGTCGCAAAACCGCGTCCGTTCGTGGCCTGCCCCAAGTCCCGGAAGGCCGTCGCTTGTGCTGTGTTAACAACGGCTGACCCAAGACGATTCCTCATGGTTACTCGTCTATTTAGAATTTTAGCCGCTGGATTCAGGACGCCGCCACCAGCAGAAATGCCGTCCCAGTATTGGGCAATCATATTTGAAGCCCCATTGAAGCCGGCTTCAAACTGGCTTCACATTAAAATTCTGCTGGTGGCGGCGTCCTGAATCCAGCGGCTGACCCAAGACGATTCCTCATGGTTACTCGTCTATTTTGAATTTTAAATACCCCGAGTCCCCTCGGCTTCAAATACCGTCCCAGTATTGGGGAATCCACTGTGTTAACAACCAAGACAAACTACTTGACTTGCAAGTCAAGTAGTTT